TTCTCGATCAAATCAAAAAATATGGTTCTGGGACGTTGTCAGCGTGAAAATAGAGATCAGGAGCTTTAAAATGATATATAGCTTGCTAAATTTTGGTTCGAAACAGCGAAGAAAAGGGTACCAGAGCCAAATGCCCCGCGCCCCGCGTTTGGGGTAGCGAGGTAGCGCGCAGCGCGCGGAGACGCAGACAAGCAGCGGAGACAGACCAGAGCCACGGGGCATTTGGCTCTGGTCGTAGATCTCCGCGGGGTCTCAACGAAACCCTGCAACATTATATATCATTCTGATCGTCATGACACGACAATGAGGACTGACAACGTCACAAGCTCTGAAAATCACTCATTAACGAGATAGGCCAGCATTTTCGTGGCGACTCTCTGCGCAAGAATTAAGCGCAGTTTCTCGTTCTTATTTAACTCCAATAGCTCCCCTAAACTTCTGAAACTCTATTTTGATCAAATGAGAGGTTAGCTGAGAAATTTTGTCCTGAATTCTGGCGAAAATTCCACAGAAACCTTCTTTTTAACGTAAAAAAGGCTATAAAAACGCAAGTTCTCGGTTTTGCTGAAAGCTAAAGATATTATTCCCTATATTTGCTTCATTAACATACGTTCCGATATAGTCAGGATAACAACATCCAGGGCGAAGCCCCGGATGACTTCTGTTTTTTTTTCCAGGTGAAGGTTGTGTCCCCTCAAAACTTTCAAAGTGACGGTTACCAGGGTACGTGGCTCTATGTATCAAGGGTATGCTGTACACAGACATTCGCCGTTGACAACAGCGAAAGACACGCCCATTCTAGTTTTGTTTTGGGACAAAATTTTGTCTTGACCCACCCCCAACGGATAATTGGTCGGGATTGCTCCGATATATCGAGACAAAATGATTCACTCGATCGGAATTGTGAATGGTTTCGGTTTAAGGACGTTTTCTTGACAGGAATCGAAGGGAAGTTTTGACAAGGTTTGGTAAGTCTACATATTAGTACACGTCCGATAAAAGGAAATCATACCGCGGTCACGCTCATTCTCATTTTGCGTGCACAAGCAGTATCCGGCTCCGGCGTCTCTCCAATGTTTGACCACACTTTTGGGGATGTCATGTAAGTGACAACCGTTGTATTACAAGAATGTGATTTGCAGTGGATTTGTGATCAAATAGTGTATCGTCCTCTCCACAGATCGTGCTACCCTTGTGGCGTCGCGGACGTGCTACGTGTGACTAACACATTGCAACGTTGGCAGCAACACGTTGGCAACATGCAGCAACATGTTGGCGTGGCCAAAATGTTCTGCCAACATGTTGAGGCATGTTGCAAACATGTTGTTGTCACGTTGCCAACATGTTAGCCGCATGTGGCAGGTCTGAGACGCAGACCGAGGGTAGCACGATCTGTGGACGGGACTATACATTTTTGGGACACCTTGTGCACGTATAGGGCTTGTCAAATTGAGTGTCGTTTGCACCAGCATCTCCATCTTCGCGCTGGGCTCTGCGTCTCTTCTGCGGTACACGCTCCCTAATCACTTCCAATCGATTGATGCTCCGCCTTTCCCACGCTCGCCCTGGGGAAGTGCTCAGAGAGCAGCCCTGCGGAAGAGACGCAGAGTACAGCGCGAAGATGGAGCCGGTGCAAACGACACTCAATTTGATAAGCCCTATACACAAACATAAGGTGCACCCCTCATAATGTTCGCATATAAGCCATCAATGTGGCTGCAATTCTATCGTTTTAACACGTTAACTCCAGCAAATCTGAGGCGCTTATTCGATGACATGTTGAATACGAAAGACAGCCACGTTGATGGTTCATATGGGAACAATCCTGGGGATGCATCATATATATTCATAATTTCAGCTATGCGTTCGTCTTCACAGCCGATGTACGTCAATACGAGTTTGATGCAGAGCGCCTAACGCTCCTGCTTCCCAAAGTTCATCTCCATTTTTCAAAGATATGACGTAACCGTTCTCAATTCCCAAAATCGAAAAGACCGAATTTCAGAACTTGCCTGAAGAAGACTGATTCTGTTTTTCTGTTTTGTTTTTTAGTGATGTGAAGTTTTAATGTTGAGTTTTGTGCGAAGTTTGTGTTTTATTTATTTATTTTGTACGCCAGGAGGCGTGCTTCAATGCAGCGAAACTAGATCAGGGTAGGGTGTAGAAAACGAAAACCAGTAGAAAAAAGAAAAAAAACAACGAAGAAACAATCAAACTCAATGAGTAAATCCAGATCTAGTGCAGTCTGCTTTGCACTCATTGGAGAAAAGAGAAACATAAAACAACGTTGGCAACCCTGTTCCCCCTTCGCTCGTCATCCCGATCAGACACACCAAGTGGAAGACCGGAAGCTCGGCGACCGGCCATACTGGCAGCCTCCGCTAGACAAGCCGAAACGGGTGTACTGGCAGAGGGCGAGCTCACCAAAAAAACCCTCCCCAGGAACCCGCCATGGCCGATCGCTCAGATAATCGCCGGGGGCAGGAGGTCCGCAAACTCGCGCTTTTCTGCAGGTGGTCAGCAGAATTTTGGGGCGTGGCCAAACCTTCAGCGGGCGCACTTCCTTTATGGTCGCATATTCTGCCAGCGGGCAGCAATGCAGCATTTTTACAAGCGCTCGGGAAATAATTTCTTTCAGCGAGCGCTGGCCAAACTTTCAGTAAGCGCTCGGACACTTTTTACGTATTTTCAGACGTCGAGCACAGGTAAGACTCTGTGTGGCAGAGGTGTCACCGTTGGTTTAATTTCTCAGGTGAGGTACTTTCTCTCAACGGAAAGTACCGGGGGGGGGGGCTGCGCGGTCCTCCACAATGGATGGGCGGCCCCCGCAAGTTTTGCATATTCTCGCGAAAAGTCCGCGAGAATGCGGCCACTACGGCAGCTAATCTATAAGGAAACCGCGATTGTTCTCCAGGCATTCGTCTAAAATTTTGTTAAATTTATTCCAAATTTCTACATGCGGACCGCAAAAAATCAGCGAACTATTTTTCCGGTGCGCGCTTGCTCAAAATTCGCATGGCCGCCTACCCCCGGCGATTATCTGAGCGGAGTGGCGGAAGAAGACAAAACAACGCCCAAAGTCTACTAGTATTGCCGCCAGTGTATTTCAAAGGAAACAAACGATCTGAACAAAAAGCCTTCAACGAATCTAACTGGAGATACTTGAGGTAATGAAAAGAGGTAATGAAAAGTTAGATTCGTTGAAGGCTTTTTGTTCAGATCGTTTGTTAATGTTAATAAAGGTAATGAAAAGTGAGAAGATCTAGCTGACAAAAGCTGCTTTTGCTACAACACACACATTGCGCTTTCTGGAAAATATGTTTTTATAAAATTTCAAAAATCTTTTTCTAAAAAATCTAAAAAAAGTCCGAAAATGGCCGCGTCACAATGTCGCGGACAATAACTCTTCGAACGCGAAAATTTTCCTTTAAGTCTTCGTTCGGAGCAAAAACAGAAGTTTTCTTTACAGATAAGCAAACTATACTACAGAGCTAATTGAGGACAATATTCAGGCAGTTTTTACTTCCAAAAAACCCAAGCTTGAATTTCATTTTGCTTATTTTCAAATAATAAGTTCTAACTACCCCTTTCAAGCCAAATTACATGGAGACCTATGCAAAACATCCTAACAAAGCTTTTCAGATAAAATGGATGCTCTTTGCCATCCTCTATGCATCGGACGTGTGCTGGTGAGTTTCTTTGCTGAAACTGGCCCTTGACAGTGCGTGCACATGATCCCGTCTGCACCTCACCACTGACTTGCACCGATTTGCAGACCTGTAGCTCGGCCGACGTCATTCTACGAACCTTCCCATAGGCTCATTCACCAGATCATGATTTCCTGGGTGGAGGACATTAGGTCGCCGAAAGAGGGCGGTCCCCGCGGTCATTTGCGACAAATACGCACCCTTGTACATACGCGGACATTCGTTCCTGCAGGGAATCCGCGCGGGACTCTTCCAAATTCGGCGACCTAGTGTCCTCCACCCTGATTTCCTCGACGCAATGGTATGCAAATGAGTTGAGTTTGGGAAGACCCAGAGATTTGATGGATGAGCGATGTAAAAAGGAAGGCGGCTTCTCCGCAGCTTTTTGGCGGTCACTATATATCCGGATCGTCCCGAACATGACGGAGGTGTCGCGCATGTTCTCAGTGAGCAGAACACCGTTTCACCTGCGGTCGTCGAGAAAACAGAACGACAAATGTCTAAATAATTGGCAGATTGTCACACATGTATCCGTGGCATCGGGCGAGAAAAGGGTTTCTTTGCATGCATTTGTACAAGCGTTAGAGGCACGGCTCGGCAGATTGACCTACCACAGATTTTGACACAGATGGATAGGAGGCCCTCAAAGTGAACCAAAACAGCAACTCCGCGCCGAAAATGTGAACTCTGCAAGCGAGGGGGGCGGCCCAAACGCCGCTCCCCTTCCTCCTTTCGCTCCCCTAACACCTTGTTCGGACGAGTATTCTCCGCTAGACAACGCGGGATCCCCCAACCGCTTTCCCGCATTGTGCATGCTATACAAAGCCAAAATTACAGGCAGCAGGGTCTTCGTGCCAGGGCCTCCCGACTTTCCTTTGAAAATTCTCGTCCGAGCTGCCTTTTGGAAATTGAAAAAAACGCCCCGAAAAAGGCCTTTTCACCACTTTTAAAACTCAGATTCGGGATCTACGGGTTGAGAAGGTCCAAAACATGCAAAAAGATGGAAATGCAAAATCTACCGGGACGCTGCCTTTAAGGGTGGTCAGTCTAGTATAGGAAAGTAGTGATGTCAATAAGAAATTCAGTTGCCTGCAGTAGATTTTTGTAGCCTGTGCCTTACCCAAGAGATAGAACGGTTTGATTTGTTTGAGAGAAAGATCTCTAATGCCTTTTGTGGGCACTGCCACATATATGGGCCTTCACAGTAACTTCCGCGTTTGAGCTAACTCGGTCGACCACTGCAATGATAAACGGAGTCCAAGAAGAACCAAGAAAATTTCAAAAAATAAAAGACCGGTCAAAGTTCATCACACGTTTATCAGAAGGAACCACTTCAAAGACTAAAAAATCAAGAATAACTTCAGCCAAGTATAACGTCCATACATACAACACGTCTGTAAAACGTCTAATCATGTCAGTAGTACTTCTACATATCACCAAATATTATGCAAATAAGTCACGAATTCTGATAGTAAGATATAACCGCGATGACATTACGGTCACTGCGACGCAATCCTACACACTCAAACGCAAAGGAGAGGTCGAGATGAAAAGTTAAACGATGCGAATTTCGTCATATTCGTGTAAAAAGCGAGGGGAGAACAGGGACAGTAGACTCAGAGGAGATTAGCGTTCATATAAGTTGCACTTAGCGATCCAAGAGTGAAAAATCTCAGTGAAGAAAAAAAGAGCGGCTTCCTTACGCACTGCAAAGTGGCAGCAGAAATTGAAACGAAACATGATCGCCACAAAGCAACGAGCTGAACCCTGTCATTGGAGCAAGATATATGGTGAATGACAAAGAAAAAAACAGAATTCAAAAATGACTACATACATAATCCCTTGAAAAGAATCAAGAGGTAAACGAAAAGCCCGAAAAAGGTAGTAACAACGACATGAAGTCACATCATCTTTGTGTACGGCCTTCAAGTAAAGAAACGACATTGCACCACGTCTAGATAAAAAAGTTGTCTATGGGATAATTGTGGTTCAGGGAACGGACTAGTAGACAGCGCAAAAGTCATATATATTGAAAGAGGGTAACAAAATGAGTAACAACTAATTATTTATTTTTCTTTCGATCCCTCAGCGTGGAGTTAGATGTCGATGAATTCTGAATGATGATTGCCATAAAATCGCGAAATCCAAACGCAAAAACAAATGCTTACACTAAGCTTTTCTCCTAGTTGAATCGCACCTCCGAGAGCGCCGAGTTGCCCAGCATTTGGAGATATGAAGTTCGTCCACAAGAAAGAAACTGCCTCGTCAACCTGAGGATTAAGCATCAGTGCATGCGAGAACTTACAAAAGCGTTGAGGAAGAAATTTGTCCAAAAAAACTTGGAAAAAAGAAGAACGTGGTACTGAGGAGCAGCCAAAAAATATACATATGACTTTGATTGCGGCAGCGGACTAGATGAGTTTATTTTTCCTGTGAAGCTGAGAAATTGGCATAAAAGTGCTTGCGCTACACAGTGCGGACTTTAACAGCTGCACCGCAAAGTACATGAATCCTAAATTGTATTGACATCACGATAGCAGTGGAAAAGATGAAAGATTCCAAAAAAAAAACGAAAAGCAAACGATGTCAAGACTTACCCAGCCACTCGCTTCGCGTAATGTACCGGAATATCGCGCATATGCCCATACAGTAAGAGCTCCAATAACAATTACAAGTACAGAAGAGAAGATGCCTATTACAATCATGATGTGAACACTAATAAAATGAGGTATCCGACTGAATCGACTCACCAGCAAAGAAGTTTAATCCAATCATTTGACAAAACTCTTGACAGATATAATCAATGATCATTAAAGATACCAGTACAGCAGGTGTACGCATAGATTTGAACAAGTTTTTACCATTATTCATTTTCAGATAAGACTCGTAATTCTCCTATAGATATAGCGATGTTGAGATGTCAACCTGATGAACGCACACCTGACTGCTCACCTCAATTTCACTTTCGAGCCTTTCCAAGAATTGCAAACTATACTCCGTTCCTCCCATTTTCCTAGCGTTACGGAATTCTCGGATTGCATCATTCTAAAGCAGTAAAGCAAAATGGCAATACTAACAAAGCAAACAAGGCTAATATCATTCAAACAATGTATGATTGTTTATACAGTATATGATAAATCGAGACTCGACAAAAAGGGATTACCTTGCACATTTCATGCTGTTCCCGTAATTCGTTAGTGCTCATGTAAGGTGTGTCCCCACCGCATATCTGAATCATCGTACAATAGATTACTACTTAGACACCCGCAGACACATTGCGTCTCACCTCCTCCATCTCTTTTTGGTAAAGGGCTCGAGCACTTGCTACAGCAGCCAAGTTGTTCGCTTCAGCTGTTGCCTAAATAACAGTTTGAACTTGGCTTAGTACTCCACAAGTAAGACTAAGCCGTTATTGGGATACAAAGAAAGAAGAATTGGTGCAAGCCGAAGACAGATGAACATTGAATGAAAACGAACCATTAGCATGGACTTGGGCTCCGGTAAATCTTGTCCTTGGAAGATCTTCATGTACGACTGAAACAACAAGAAGTCAGATGTGTAATTCAATCAGATCAACAAAGGACGTCTAGATTTAAGATACAACAGAACAAAGTTAACATTAAAAAATGATCTCAAAAGTTGACTACGCTAGAAATCCATGACTACCAATCTTTTCCAATGCATAGTCGAAAACGAGTTTGGCTAATCGTAATGGCGATAATCGACTGAATCAATTTCAGATGGAACTCACTTTGAAATATTCAACCAGTTCTCGGCAAGTCACTTTGTGACCGTTGATTTCCTTCATCGATAAACTTTTTGAATCAAGTAGGGCTGGTACCATAATCCGCAGCTGTTCTTGGAACTTTGGGTCGATGTCTGAAAAAGTTCAATGGTGACCTGATAAGATCACTCATAAAATTACTCATGGTGACAAAACATCTTTCCGTATCAAAAAGCAAACGGCTGTCAGGAGGAACATCATTTTACCTGCAAGCGATCCATTGAATGATGGGTTGGTGGCAACTTTGATTCCAGGATAAGGCATCAGGAAACAAGAGATGTTTTCGAAACAACTTCGAATATGCTGCCGAAGTTGTTGGAGTTCAGGATGCTGTTTCGCAGATACCTGAGAAAATCGTCCATTCATAGTACGCATGCACAAAAATAGCTTTTCTTTACCTGAAGCCGTTCTTCCATAATCTTTTGTCCGCCCTTGTAGCCGAATTCGGCTTCGTAGGGGAACGACCAGTCCCGGACAAGGAATTGCAGCGACTGTAATAAATGGTTGGAAAAAAAATACATGACGGCAACGTATTAGTGATTATTTTCTTCTGAACCGATGACAAGCACCAGACGGGAAAAGAATTTTTAACGGATAATCTTCGCCTTATCTAAACCGCATGAAAGTGTTTCGCCTCGGACAGCATCAGTTCACAATCGAACATTAGTGACTTGTTAGAAAGTCATTCAAACAACTGCCCTCGGCGAGATCCCACCACCGTGAATGGTCTAATAAGGGTGAATCTTTTTTTTCAATCAAGAACAGTTGCATAAACGACGCGCGCATACTTGTTCTCTGTGAGCGAGTCTTCGACGATACTTAACCACAGAGATCACCTCTTCCTTCAGAAAAATCACCATAATTAGAAAATGGTCCATATTTTGATAAAAGCAATATTTCAGTCAGATTCAAAAGTAGCCTTCACAATCGCTGACAATGACAGCTCAGCCACACCTTATGAGCTTTAGGCGCAGTTCTTGCAGGAGTGCAGCTGCGTGCAATTACTCGAGCATTACTTACTACAGCTACCTACTATGAAATGATGAACCCTCAGATCCTCCAATCGGCCAAGCATTGCCTCCAATTTAGTATATGTTGTTAAAAAAAGGAAACTTTCTCTCTCTAGCCGTTCCTAAAGCCCATCAAATTTCGCCCACCCCACAATCATAGTTATTTAGTTTAGAGATACGATTGCCGTGCACTGACTGGCAGCTGTCAAACATGTAGCATGTCAGATTTGCAAAGCTGTAATAACGGAAATCGACGCGAAAAACGAATCGCAGTTCATTTCTCATATTTCACAGCAGAGACCTCGACCAACCAAATTTTAGACAGGCACCTCCACATCCAACTCTATGTAGTGGGTGTGCGAAGAGAATAAAAAGATCTTTTTGCGCCCGCTACCGCCGGTAGTTTCTATTTATAACGTTGTTGATCTGTGCTGGATCCGGCTCTGACGTACATCATCAAAAAAATTGGTAGCGGCAACGGTACCTGGAACGGCTTGCTGTGCGTGTCCTCCAATGCTAATCGACCGTACTCAGTGAACATTTGCAAATGCTGCAGATGGTCCTCTTGAATGTTGTGCAATAAATTGTAAATCTGAACGAAAGAATGGAAAATGAACGTAAACTGATAAGATCATCTTGTTACTAATGTGAGCATTAACAAATTCTTTCTAATCATGTACGAGTATTTCTGATTTCCAAAATTCTGACTCATATATAAGAAACCCTTACTCAATAGAGGCCCTTTTACTCAATAGAGGCCCTCTTCAACCTATCATCCTTTAAGTGGAAGTTTTGCGAAAAAAAGAAGAAAATATCATGGAAAGCGACTTGGCAGCAATTATATCTTCGTATTTTGGAGTACTCAGTGCAAAAATCCCACGAGGCTCTAACGATGGACTAGCTTGGATGGCCAATTCGCAGTGCTAAGCCATCCGTCAAACGTTTGCAAAAGATTTAAATTTTCAGTAAAGCCCGAAGTAGTAGAAATAAAGTATTAGAGTCCAACATCAAGTAGAATAAGATAGTAGGGAGAACTCTTCTGCTAGCACAGGTTAAAGTTTTGCACTACATACCTGCATGGAAGACACCATCGTGGACAAAGCAAAGATAGTTGCGCAATCTTTGACTGTGCTTTGGGAATCAAATGTTCCCTGGGTGTCCATGAGAATGACGGCGATCTGAAATCATTTGTATAATAAAAAACAAATTAGATATGAAGTTGAGTAACCTCTTGCCCATCCCGATCCTTCATGATAAAAGGTTCACTCCAGATAAGTATTCCGTTAGTATCGCGTTTACTTCCGCCTCGCCACGAAAAACCTTCTAGGTAATCCTTAGACACGGTTAGCCAATCCATGTTCCCTGAACCGTCTTGGTCTAAACAGGTCATTCAGTGTTGTGCATAGCGTGCGTAGCGTTAGTGTAGATATGAAAAATAAAAAAAGTATTATAAAAAGAGAAGCAAGAGCAGAGACAAAGCTATATATATATATATTAGGTCGTCTCGTAAGTTTTTTTTTCTCGTTATATTTTGTTATTATATTATATGTATATCATGTTATAATTTTACTGCAATAAGTCACACACTTCTCATGTGATTGAAATGCAGGGTATTCGATAGAGCACAGCAAGCTCTATAAGATGGCGTGTAAATGTCCGCACCAGCTTCAGCACATCACGAGTTAGAAGACGAAATCTGAGAACTTTTAAAGCCCAAAACATTGAAATTCATATAACTTTGTCCAAAGAAAACTTACCAGATCCCAAACTTGCTCGCGCATATACACTCCACACAGCACATTCTCATATGCCGCTGCTGTGTTGTTTGTGTGCTAAAAACCGAGACAAAGCGATGCTGCGCTGTTTTCACGCACGTAAATGTATACTACAGGCCTTCAATAATACATCAGAAATTTTTCAGCTTCCTGAAAGCGCTAGTTCTTGAGAAATACCGAATTCAGCTTTTTTTGCTAATATTCCATGTTAAATCAATATTTCTCGGAAACTAGAGAATATAAAAAGCTGAAATCTCTGTACCTCTAAAGGCCTGTAGTATAAATTTACTCTATGGAGATAGCGCAGCATCGCTTTTTCGAAATCTTGAAATTTTAGGTTTTCTCGGTTTCTAGCACAAAACCAACGGCACCAAACGCGTTCTGTGGAGTACATATGCGTGAGCAAGTCTGGGACTCAGTAGGTTTTTTTGGTAGAATTATAGAAAATCTTTAATTTTTTTGGGCATTCAAAAGTTCTCAGGTTTCGGCTTTTAACTTCTGATGTACTGAAGCTGCGAACACTTACACGCCATCTTATAGAGCTTGCTTTACTCTATCAAAAGGTACCCTAATTTCACGCGTATAAGGCGCACTTTCTTGATTTTCAAGCGAGCCGCTCAGCCGCTTCTTTGTGTTTCGGAAAAAGATCCTTATACCGCCAATTCTCTTGAGCAATATACAGCACGTTATAGGGTCCTTTAGTTGTAAAGTCCTTTGGCGTACCTGGGCTGGTCAATCTTAGGGAACGGCCATAGGTTGTCGATGTTGTCGGTGTTGTCGGGGTCAGAGACAGTTTAGAGAGCGCGCGAAACGTGGAGGCTATCATAGGTCCTACAACGACCGGCAACCTCGCAACCCCGACAACACCGACAACCTATGGCCGTTCCCTTAGAAAAAAAATCCCCCGCGCTTTATACGCGTGAAATTAGGTTACCCTGCATTCTAATCAGAATTGAGAAGTATGTACCTTATTGCTTTGGAAGTCAAAATTGAAAAAACTTATGAGACAACCCAGTATAACATAAGAAAAAACGAAAAAAAGCAAAAAGCGTCAAAGCGTTAATATATTTACCCACCTAAGCCTTTAGCGCGCCACTGCAAATATCGCAGGAAAAAGTTTAGCAGGAAAGATTTGCCCATACGGTAAGCACCAGCTACGCCAATCACGGCTACCTGTAAAGAAAAAAATCTATATGCAAGTTTGAACAGATAGCTTGAAGGATTTTCGAAGACTTCCGGAAGATCCCTTGGCGGTTGATCTTCCCGAAGTCAATTTCAAAGTTACAGCCTCAATTGGAATTTCATAAGAACCCTCGCTGCAAATGGAATACACTTTTCCACTTATGGAACCATACAATGCGTAAAATTGCAAATCTTGAAGCAAGACAAGAGCGAACTAACCTTTTTATCAGCAACTTTTGGATCGAGTAGAATCTTTTCAAGTTCGGCAACATTAAGCTCAAATGAGTGATCAACATCTTCAACCACTTCAACTATCCGAACCGGATGAGCACCGCTCTTCGGTATGTGCTCGTCCTACAACAAACTTTCGTAACTTCAAATGAATGGAACGAATGTAAATAACTCTATAATAACCAGTAAAGATAACGATGAGAAAATTCAGATACATGAAGAATATGAACAGTTCAGAGGCATAGGAAACTCCAAAACCTGCTACTTACCTCGCTCCTCAAATCTTTATCCTTAGTATCACCGTCCAAAATTATTTCGCCCATTTTCTAAAAAAAAAAATAAGCTTAGATTTATAGAATTGAAGATCAAGGTGTTTCTTGCGATTATTTACGACATGTCTGCAATATTGTGATAATAAACAAGATGAAGCTTGTTACCGACAGAATATGAAAGGCGTGCACAATGAGTTGGCTATTATATTTGAGACAGATCAAACTCCCGAAATTGATGTAGAAGGAAAAAATGATGAGGATTCCAAGCGAGTCTTTGACGGGCCTGTACTTACTCAACGAACTTGTGGGATATAATAAATTGAGTCCAACAGCAAAGTAGAAAAGATACATTCACGCAAAACCTCCCTTCATTTCACTTTATTGAGCCATATCAGATTGCTACTGGCAATAAAAACGTACTATACTAAAAGCAGAACAAATTGGACTGCCACAACAGGTACTCATTACGTAAAGGTTGTGCTTGCCTTGCAAAACTAGCTAGACACCCTGAAGATGATAAGATAAAACTCGGTCCTAAGCTGATCAAAGGTACCGCATCAAAGAAAAAACTTTGACAGAAGTGAGAATGATTGATGAGACCCTTAGCGATGAGCAATAAAATCATTGAGCGTTCTCGTTCATTTGAGAGAAGAAAGACAAGAAGTGAAGTTTCACAAGCCCAATTTGATAAGCCAAACTCAACTTCAAGTCAGTAAAGAAGAAACACACTTTGACGTCAGTTAAGAAAAAAAGAGGAAGACAGATGGTAATCCAGTTCTTACTTACTACCACCCATGGCAAAATTGGTGGCCCAAAGAATAGTCTTCACCTCCTCCAAAGGAACAGAACAGCTTTTGCATAGATGTGAATAGAATAAGGATTACTCAGAAGAGTACCGGATGACTGTGGCTACGGGCGTATGACGACAAAGTATCTATTAGCATGGCGAATAACTAAGAGCATAACAAAAGGAAAAGAAAGCTTTGCAGAAAAACTTGTTCCTTGAGCTTCATCGTCTTCCTTGGTGATAGGACCCTTCCGGAATGACGCTCGATTATAGGGCATTTGAAAGATCGTGACGATGGCGCGACCGCGCACGACACGCACGCCACTTCCGGAAATTGCATTTTCTTGGTTTTCATCGCTAGTAGAATTTTTTGCTTACGTATGATAATATTTAGACACTGGAAGTGACTGAGCTGAACGTTGAGTAATGCCTTCTTGACGAGCGTTTTATGCTCCTGTGAATGCAAAGACCGCAGCAAAACCCATCGTCACGATTTTAGAATGAACTATACCTTTTGCGGGCAATTTTCGCATAGGTGAATAAAAATTTTTATAGAAGAAAATGATATTTCCGTATATAGAAAAGTCCATATAAAGCACATGTTTACCACCACGGCTCAAATTCATTGTGAATGACATGGCTGGGACAGCCGATTCAGATAGAACAATAATTCGTGGAAGGCAGCACTTTCAGAAGAATCGAAAGCCGCGCAGGTGAGTCGCCTTAATCTATACTGAATAGTGAGGAAATTTCTGAAAAGGTAGTCTGACTGTTCCAGCGATTATACAGTCTTTATACTAAAACTAACGCCCTATGACCTAAGTGTGTTCAATTGATTTTCACATGCTATTTACAGTTCTGAATAGGCAACAGAGCATACGGTAGCTACTGTAAACGATAGTGCATCTAATGAATTTTGCAAAATAAAAAAAAATGAATGAAAAGAGCTCAATCATAAATTCGATGACCGATGACTATGAGGTCAATTTCAGAAAACCTAAAAGCTTAGAGAACACGTGGCACCCGACTTGAAGGGAAAAACACACTTTCGAAATCGAACACAGATTAAACAAGTTCATTTACAATCAAGATTTTCGCATGCGAAGAAGAGTTCGACAGGGTAATACGTCCCAAACGAGCTACAAAATTACAAAGTGAGCCTGGAATCGATGCGTAGAAGGATAACAACTGCAAAACAACATCGTAAAGATGAAAAACTAGCATCGAAAGGCTCAAACACTGACACCATCCAGCATTCGCCGGCTGAAGAGAACGCGAGAGAAACAGAGTGCACGTGCGGGCGGCGCTAACTGTGCAGAGACGCAGGATCAACAACTCGCTGCGCTTGTCGCCGTCGACGCGCCGTCAACATGACCTTGGGTTGCTCTGCGCGCGTCCTCTAGCGTTGGCCGAGGCAGACGTAAATAGCTGGACGGTCAAGCATCAGGGTTCTACGGAGCCTTGGTTAATCTGTTCCATTCCTGGCTATGCTTAGGAACCCGTCATACTTCGCCAAGAAAAGCGCAAAAGCGCCGAAAAAGCCCAAAAAAGCCCATAAGAGCCCAAAAAGCCAGAAGGAGCCGGAACGCCCCCTTCCGCGCGCACGTTTTGGCGCTGAGGCATGTGCGTTGATTTCGCAACCGAGTCTTTTCGCTTCATTTTCTGCCGTCTGTACATCAAAATAAAGTCAGAGTTCTACCAAAAGTTCGTTCCTGCATCCCGGCGCTTTCGGGCTTTTTCCGGCTTTTCTGGGCTCTTTTGGGTGCTTTTGGGTTTTTTTGGCGAAGTATGAGGGGTCCCTTAGGGTCGCTTGCATTAACATCGGCCAGGGAGCGTATCGCAGCTCAAAAGAAAGCTTCATATCCTAAAGCTCCGAACTTCTGGATTTCACGCTGTCTACCTATCCGTTGGATTTCACGCTGTCTACCCATCCGTAAGTAATCCTACCATCCTTCACTACGAACATATTACACACAAAGCTGTACAAGCCCATTTTCTAGCATTTTGTATGGTCCCCTGATGGTCCCTGGTGGCCGACCGTCTTTTCTTCAGTCATTTTTCTTTCTTCAGAGATAGCGAAAACCTAAAGTTCTACTGTTCATCTAGCCCAACAGTGCTAAGCATGTTGCTGACAAGAACAGACAAGTTTTTGAAAAATCAAATTTTTCGACAAATTCCAACATTCGACCTGTGGTTCATCGCAAATTTCATGACTCCAATACATCATTTGTTCTTATCAGCAACATGCTTAGCACTATTGGGCTAAATGAACAGTACAACTTTGCAGTGTTCTCGCTAACTCTGAAGAAAAAAGAACTACTTTAAGAAAAGACGGTCGGTCGTTGGGCATCACCAGGGGACCATGTAAAGAGCTGGAAAATGCGGCTTACACAGCTTCTCGCTCCTGTTCATGTTCATAGTGAAGAATAGTAGGAATCTTACGGATGCATAGGCACTGCGAAATTCAGACAAGTGGAGCTTAAGGATATGAAGCTTTCTTTAAAGCTGCGACCCTCCTTAGCGGAGATGTTAATGCATGCGGCCCCTAGTTTGTCCCAGAAGGGATCGGCCTCAACCGGCTCGCGCCGCATTTGCGGTCGCTATGACATTTCGTAATGGGTTCGTGTCTGCTCTGTATTCACTTTTTCGTGGCTAGGGCGGGAGAGGGGGCCAAACTTATGACAAAGAAATAATACAGCTAGGATTATTCAAATGTTTAACATTTAACAAATGCATTACATACAAGTATAAACAATTAAGCAATTTCAGAGATGTAAAAACCTTTGTTTCTAACATAATCTACAGTACGATCTAATTATTTGGCCTCTGATCTATTTGAACTACCCCACAGGTATAAAAGGCGACCAGGGTCAAGCAAGGGGTGTGGCACATGACCGCTGGTTACGACCCCCCCCCCTGATTGCTGTCTTGATAAGACCCCCCCCCCCCTCTGGACTATACCCTTAAGATAGCATTACTTGGAGGCCCTGTCAAACATAATGGGCAACATATCCATAATGAGCATGTCAATTAACCCCTGTAGACAAAGTTTGAGCGAATTCTGAAGATTCAAGATACTAGGCTACCTAAGTGAAATGGTCAAATTCCAACATGGTTAACTTTGTTTCAAAGGTGAATTAGCTATCCGTTTTCGCACTCAAGACAAAGCACTACTCCTTCTTTGTCCATCTCAGGAATCCCGCTTCAGAAGACCTCCAAACTGTGGAATTAGAAGCCAACCAAAATCTCGTTTTTCCCATTTTTCGCTTTTGATCGCTATGCTTCCACCAAATATTACTCAGAGGTAAGAAGACGAATCAGGCTCAAATCACTCCTGTGAAAACTAGGTGATCTATGCTATCGATCCATATAAATACTGTCCGCTAAAAATGTTTTTTTGATATAGTTAATGGCCTGCGGCACCCCTCCTCAAAACCTGCGGCAGCCGCAGGTTTTGAGGGGGGGGGGGTGCCGCAGGCCATTAACTATATCAAAAAAACATTTTTAGCGGACAGTATTTATATGGATCGATAGCCTAAACCTCGTAGATTCCATAGGGATGTTTTGAGCCTGATTCGTCTTCTTAGCTCTGAGTAATATTTGGTGAAAGCACAGCGATCAAAAGCGAAAAATGGGAAAAACGAGATTTTGGTTGGCTTCTAATTCCACAGTTTGGAGGTCTTCTGAAGCGGGATTCCTGAGATGGACAAAGAAGGAGTAGTGCTTTGTATTGAGTGCAAGAAGAGGTAGCTTACTCACCGTTAAGATGAAGTTAATCATGTTTTAAATTACTGCTTTATACAAGGTTGTTTACTGCTCGGAGACCTCAGAGTTCGCTGAAACTTGGCGCATAGGGGTTATTCGACACGCGGATTACGATTATGCTTGATTAGAGGTACGGTAGGTTACGGTAGGCATACGGTATCTGCAAGTTTTTGTCGTTAAACTTGAATTTTGCAGGATTTCAACAGCGCTTTCATCAAGTCAATTTAGTCACACAGCTTGTACAAGTGCTTTTGACCTTGGGTCGATACGACCCCCCCCCCCCTACCTACCCCCTCTAACGACCCCCCCCCCCTGCGGCGTGCCGCACCCCCCGCTTTACCCTGAAGGCGACCCTGCTATGGTGTCACCACTCTTCTCCTCCTTCAGCCACTCCTCCCTACTGAGGAGCCTCGGGAGTGGTCTTATACAGTTTCCTGTCTAGGGGTAGAGGCGAAACAGGAGAACATTAGAATTAATTAATTATTTGTCTTTATCCGCTTCA